CTTCATTCGATCCGATTAAATAAACGGGATTTTTTACGAGAGCTATTTTTCTTCTTTCTCTTTAATTTTAAATTTCATTGTGTTCTTTCAAGGTTCTCCATCAGATATTTTATTTTATATTCATATTCAAGTATGTTTTATTGTTTCTTTCGTGATATTAACAATGTTTGCTGTAGATAATTTCAAAATTATCTAGATAAAGATAAAGATAAAAATCCGTAAATTTATCTTAGATGAGATAAAGATGATTTTGCTTTTACTTAATCTAGATGAAAGATGAGATAATTATTGCGATAATCTAGATAATTATTTAGATATTTTTGTTTATTTTAGAAGACTATAAATATTTGTAAAAAATGTAACGCAGATTATAAATGGAATATTAAAATCATAAACACATATTCTTTCTCTTTTCCTAAAGAATATTTAAATAATAGTAAAAAGGTATATAAATGATATGATAAATATTTATTTATTAATTTATATTTATAATATATTTATAATATATTAATAATATAATAATATATTTATAATATATTAATAATAACAATATAAAAAATATATAATTTTAGATATTTTAGATAGATTTGTAGAAGCTTGCCTGAAAAACTTTTTTGCATAATGAAAACGTCATCTTAGACAATTTTTAGATAAGATGACACATATTTTTCATCTAAGATAAAGATAAAGATACTTTGTATTTCTTCATCTAGTTAAAGATAAAGTTGATCCATTTCTTTATCTAGATGATTATCTAGATAATTTTATCTAGATACCAGCAAACACTGGATATTAATATAAATTCTTCTACTTGTTCTTTCTTTCTCTCGTTTTCAAGAAAATATTTCGGAGATAATTTATATAATTGCATTTGAATTGTAACTCTGTATTGTAATCATTTTTAACTGATGTATCATCAATCTGTCTGTCTTATTAATTATTTTGCAGAAGATTTTTAAATAAATAAATGAATGATTAAATATATAAATAATCACGCTTGTAATTAAACGTGAAAACAAAACAATTAAATTACAATTATATATATTAATTATACTCTTGGCAAATCGAGATGCGAGAACAAAGCTTTCACAAGAGATACTTTCCAAAGAGATAAGAGTCCAGAAGAACACGAGAAAACGAGGTAGGAAAAAGTATATCAGTCGACAGGCGCGTGTTTATTCCGATTATAATTGCATATCTGATCGTAACTGCAATATCTCAGACACATAAAGATAGCTGGCCAAATAACATTAAATTTGCTTTTTCCTGTGATTGCGCTTCTATATCATTTTTTGTATTTAAATTCAAATAGAAGAAAAGCAGAAGCTTTCTAGAGATGTAGTTTTCGATGATTTTAAGATCACTCTTCGATCTCGATTTTATCTATTAAGCATCGATTAATTTGCCAGTAAGCGATCAATATCAAAATTTTTAACAATTAATTATTTATATAATCATCAGTATAATATTTATTCATATTTACCATCTCATCAGTATAATATTTATTTGATAGAATATAATAATTTATTTGATAGAAATTTCCCACTATCGCACACTTCTGCAAGTTTATAAGATGTCTATTCAAATCTTAAAAATTAAAAAAAAAACATTTTAATTTTTTAAATCTTTTTGCTTATCAAAACTCCAACTAAAAAAATTTTGGAGATTTTTCTAATGAATTTTTCTAATTTTTCTAATTAAACTTTCATTTTTCACTTATCACGAAAAATTGTAAAAAAGAATATTTTAAAATATATTAAAATATATATTAAAATTTATATTAAAACATTTTAAAATATATTAAAATATTTTGTAAATATATATCCGTTTAAAATATATTATAAATTTATACTCAATTTGTATTTATATATTTAATTTCTTAATAAAATATGGAGAGAAAATATATGTATACTATTTATTCCATATCATATATATAAATTGAATATATATTTATAATATATTTTAAACGGATATATATTTGTAAAATATTTTAATATATTTTAAAATATTTTAATATAAAATTTAATGTATATTTTAACATATTTTAAAATAAAATAATTCTAAAATATTTATAATATATTTTAAACACATAATTCATAACTTGGCTTATCGGCGATTTGCTGATACAAAAAAAATGATCAAAGAAAAAATTTTTTCAAAATTCAAAATTCCTCTTGAGTTCCAAAATCTCAAGAATTTTCCGATCTTTTCAGTAAAATAAGAGAAATCCTGAGCATTCTTGAGTTGAATTTTCCATGTTTTTCTAGTGAATTTTTCCTGGTTAATCAACTTGATCCTCTTCTTTCTTTTTTTTTCATTTAAATCACATATTTTCTATCTCTGGACCGGTTCTCATCGCGAGAAATGCACAAAACAAAGATGACAAAAATGAATGCGCTTCCTACACGTGCTTCGAGAGCCATGACTAAGTCTGCGAAACGTATGTGCATTCACTTGGGTAAACGCCTTGCGCCAGTCGTTCGTAATATTTGAAATTTCTCCAAGTTTCCTAGTAAGTTTCATCTTATAACAAGAACAGAATAAATTCCAAGAGAATTAAAGTTGAATATTTTGTTCGAAGATTCGCAAAATTATTTCCGTAGAGAGAAACTCGCAGCAAATTATTTGTGTGCCACAAATTTACACAATTTTCACATTTTTCTACAGAAGAAATCCTTAAATTAAAGATAATTATTCGAATCAATCTACTCAAATTTTAAAAAATTCCTTGAAAATTCACTGATTTTCCAGAATTTTTATTAAAAATTCAGAATATTAAAGATGTTTTGGTGCAACGTTCTAAAATAAGATTTTTTATTCTATATGGTTTCTACTAGTTTTTTTTACTTATACGAAAGAAAAACAGTTTTAAATTTTAAATGCGAGTTTGCAAATGTACTGAAAAAATTGAACAATTTCATAAGATGAACATTTTCATTTGCATAACATTTTTATTTTTGTATCATTAAAATTAAGAACATGTAAATGTGTAATAAAGAATGTGTAGTGCATATTTAATATTTTCTCTAAAGACACTGAATATATAAATAGAGATAGATATATATTTATAATATATTTTAACGTTTTACGTATATAATTTATTTATTTACAACGGGAATAAAATTATCAAAAGGAGAATTATTTAAAAAATTCTGATTTTTCCAGGTATGAACAAAAGAAATTTCAGAATTTAAAATTTTTCATACCTTTCCAAGAAGTAGACGCTTCGATTTAGACAGTGAAATTGTTTGAAAAATTAACGCAAAATTTAAAAATAAATTCAATTATTTATAAATCTTTCCCAAAATACTGCATCGGTTACATAGGATATATATATATATATATATATATATATATATGATATACATAGGATATATATATATATATATATATATATATGATATACATAGGATATATATATATATATATATATATATATATAAATATAGGATATACATAGGATATATATATATATATATATAACATATACTTATATATATAATATTTATAAATATATTTTATAAATATATATATTATATTATATAATATTTATCATATTTATATTACATAATAAATATAATATAATAAATATAATAAATATATATATATATATATATATATATATATATTTTTTATATTTATTTATTTAAAAATATTTACGCTTTAAAAGTTTTCATTATGTACAAATGTGTGTTATATTTTATCAACTTTTTTGCTGATTTGTTTAAACATTTTATTATTTAAATAAATAATATTGCAAATCTGACTTCACATTTATAATCAGCGATCCAAAAAATTCCTATTTTGCATTAAATTTTGTTTCTTATACATTTTTTGTACTTATTGATGATAAGAGAGTGAAAATTAAAGACTATCTGTAAAACCACTTATGGGCAAAAATAGAAAAACACGGGTGAAATATTTTTGATAGTTCTACATTTATTTCAAATTTGAAAAAAATCGGAATATAACATCTGGGTACGTTTACTTGTTAGCCTCGTTAATCGATCCACGTCGACACACAGCAGACTTCCTGACAAGCGTTTATCATTCATTATAGTGCGATAACACTCATTTTCACAATTGAGTAATTATAGCAGCGAGCAAACTGAATCGAAAATTTCCTTCCTTTAAAATTTCCGCCACGTTTCCCCAATGTTCCCCTTGTATAAGAAGGTACCGAGTATGTATATAACGAACATATACAGGGTGGCTCCGAACGTTCCAGCCAGATTTTTAGATCTTATAGGAAATTTAATTCTGAACAAAAAATTTCCTATAAACTTGAGTCGAAGAATGCTTCCTTAAGAAGTTATCGCTCAAAAACCTCTGAAGGAAGAGCAAAAGGTGAAAAGAAAATAAAATAAAAAGAAAATAAAACTAAATAAATTTCTTGAAAAAAACGATAAAAATAAAAAATAAAAATCTTTTTCTTTTATGAAAATAAAATAATTTTTTTTTTTAACTAACTTTTATTTTATTTTCATAAAAGAAAAAGATTTTTATTTTTATCGTTTTTTTCTAAGAAATTTATTTAGTTTCATTTTCTTTTTATTTCATTTTCTTTTCACCTTTTACTCTTCCTTCATCAGAGGTTTTTGAGCGATAACTTCTTAAGGAAGCATTTTTCGACCCATGTTTATAGGAAATTTTTTGTTCGGAATTAAATTTCCTATAAGATCTCAAAGTCTGGCTGGAACGTTCGGGGCCACCCGGTATACAATATAATACGAAATATATTTTTGAATAATTCGCTATTAAAAAAAATATCTAATATAATGTAAAGTCCTCTTTAGGAAAAAAAAAGATTTGCCAGAGAATATAATTTATAAACCGCAATATTATACACACATACTCCAGAATTTCATTGAAGCGTACGAAGGACATCTACGTTTGATTGTAACCGCAGAAAAAATATATTCCTATTTTACGAGCGCAGGAGACGGGATGGGTTTTTTTGTGCTCTCGCAAGGAAGAATAAATTCACTCTATATACTTACTATATTTTCCCGCACGGTATTGTGAAACAACTGTTCCCTGAGGTCAGCGTCATCTTCCATCTTCACCTGTTTGTCATCAGCTGATAATCGTGGTTGACCAGCGGCAGCGACAACATTTTACCGCATTTTTTCTCGCACGGTTTCGCGGCAACGTGTATCCCGGAGGAAACGTCACGTCTAGGATATATCACGCTCACTCTCTCCTGACGTGTCTTTGCCTGACGTCAAACTGTATGTTTACGAGACGGTAGGCATGGCTCTTCACCATCATCAATGTCAACTGACTGACCAATCGGCCAACTGTCACCACGATCGTTTATGCACCTAAAGGTAGGTTTTCACTTAAGTCTGGAGCATATAAAAAACTTAGACAGTAAACTTA